AGGGGGGACGGGGCTGGACACGCAGCAGCAGCAGCTCCCCGGGGAGCGAGGAAGTGTCAGTATGGCCTCTGCCTGAGACCCGCGGCACAAAGGACGCCGTAGGGGCGCGTCAGGCCCCACCGGGCCGGTGCTGCGGAGAGTGGGACCCGCCGAGGCTTCCGCTCTGTGCCCATGGTAGGGCGGAGGAGCAGAGCTGTCGGCCTGAGGAGGCAGGAGGTACGGGTGCCTCTCGTTTCTTAGCTGGCCTGAGGTCCAGGACCTCTGTCTGTCCTCTAGCCTGTCATCTGGAGGGGTCACAACACCTGCAGCCAGGGTGATGTGGTCTCATAGAATCATTGAATCACTAGTGTTGGAAAAGACCTCTAAGGTCATGATGTCCCAACTGTGAACCCGTCACCTCCCTACTCCTGCTGGCTGCAGTAAATCAAGTGCAGAGATGATACCTGTGTGAATCATGCTGCTCAGCTCACTTCTTGCCAGGAGGGTTTGTAATCTTCTAGGCCACTGTAGTTGAGATTAGTTAGTATTGCTCTCCATCTGCCCGATGGTAAACACCTACTATAGCAGGTTTTCCCAAGTTATTTCTGCCCAGCTGTGATAGTCTTACCTGAATCTTTAGTCCTCACCCCAGTTCTGGTTTGGTTTGGTTTGGTTTGGTTTGGTCTGGCCTGAGAGACGGCTGGAGGCGTTGAATGGATGTTCCAGTGGGGATAGGAATATCATTAGGCTGATGTCTCCAGGGCTATCTATGGCCTCTGCCACAAGAAAGAAGTTAAGAAGACCAAAGAACTACCTAGGTGATGGCTTCACTTCTGGTGCTTCAGTTGTGCATTCTGATGAGACAGGAGGGTTTTGTTGTGGTATTGTTCCATCTACATTGAACAGGTGGAATTCGTCTTCAACTAAAGGGTGGAGAAGGTCTAACAATTACATCTTTGGGCAGTTTTCATTAACCAGAATTCAGACGCATCGACACAAGCAATAAAAAGTTTGTTGTTCTTTTCCTTTTGGGATAATCTTTTTCATCCCTTCAACTCAAACCATTCCAACTTATGACAGGATTTTCCAGATCTATACTTTCATGGGAAGCACCAGCTCCCTGTTGCTTTATCAAGAAAATGAATGCAGAGAGATGAGCAAGCTAGGGACTTGCAGCTCAGGAGTTCTGTTCCTTTCAGACAGGTCAAAGCTCTCCACAAGAACATCCCAGTTTCATTAGGAGCCACGGACATGTTCTTAACATGAGCAGCAGAGCTGCTGTCATACTTTCTGCACAGGAAGCTGACCTGAAATTAGAATTGAGATGTAAGCCACTTTTGAAGATGGGAAAGGCAATGTTATGCAGTATTTGGAGGGTGGTGTTAAGATGTCAGGATCTAGTCACATTTTACACTATTGCATTTAATCACTTGGGAGATGGACCTCTTCTTCAATTTTTATATTCAGAACAGGGGAGGGAAAAGAAGATGAACCTTTTATCTGCTTCTCATTACAAGTCATCTGTGTGGTGCCAAGTTGCATTTTGGCAAACAGCTATGTAGTGCACTGTTGGCATTGTTCAAACCCAAAATCAGAGTCATACCTGTAGTATATTATATGAACCCACCCCCAGTCATGAATTCTGAGGGCAAAATGGAGTCAAATATCTTCAAGAGTTAATTGTCTTCATGAGTTAAAGATGGATGAGATTTTCATGTAAAGATTTTATCTGACTTTATGGGCCATTATAATCTGGCTCTTGGCTGCACATTCTCTATGGGAAGACTAATTCTTTCTTTTGAGTGTAAAGAAATTCCTTGAGTTTGGTCATTTTCATGCAGTTTGTTCAAGTGAAGTGTGTTTATATGTTTTAGTAACTGCCTAAGAACAGAGCTCATCCCCTAGGAACACAGGGTTTAATTCTAATTCCTTCCTGGCAGGAATTTCTGCAGCATTGCCATTAGGTTCTGTGGAAAGGATAGCACGCTGCCTTTACTGACTTGGGCAACAGGAAAGATTTCTGTTTTTACATCCTTAGCGCTGTTCTCTCATCTCTGCTCAGCATATTCATCTTGTCTGACCAGGTTTTTTTAGAGCAACTTCTCAGCCTGAACCTGAGAAATATCCTGTTTCTTGACTGGCTAGTACCAGGGTCTTTCAGGGGGCTGCAAGGCTCCCAACAGTTGTTGTTTCTAGGAATGGCATGTTCTAGGCCCTTTATACAAGGGCGAGTTTTTGCCCTGAAGCAAGATGAGTTTCAATTTCTTTAAAACTTGAAGGATCTCATTACCCAGAAGTCTAGCAGCTCCCTAATTCCTGTTCTGCCAGTCTTTCTATCAAGAATTTGGCTCCAGCACGGAGGCATGGGAGTGGTGGGAAGGCCCCCAGCATACCCCAAGCTCAGACCAATACAGTCCCTTGTGGATTAGTGAGGAACTATATTTTCTCCGTTGCATTTACAGGCAGCTTGGAGTGACAGATGAGCAAAATTGTGCCAATGCCGGCCAACTTCTCTAATATTTCAGAGGTTGTCTTAATTTACGCGTCATCAGATCTCAGCAACTGGGCAGGATAGGAAAGATGGGGATACTGGATAACCCCAGGAAAAGCCAAACCTGGATAATACCTGTGAATGCAAACAAAAGAATCTGCAAGACAGACATAGCAGCAAAATGAGATTAATATTTCTATTGCCTGTGGAGCATACCAATCTTAGAGTTTGTTCCAACCTGAGTCTGCAAGGACCACAGCACTTTTGGATGCTGCTTTCCAACCCCAGTCTGCTCATGCAGAGTATATCTGCACCTGCAGCCCTCCTAGTCACTGCTCTGAATCATTTTCACATGACTTTTTGGAGGAACCAGGCTTCATCTTTTCAGACCTTTGGCCAATGTTACGTGGTCTGGTTGGTTGGTTTCTGGCTTTTTTTTAACCAAACATAGGGATAGAGGAGTAGCAGTGAAAGAGAACTTTCTTAAAACTTCTTTGTGAAATAACAAATCCTGAAATTTTGTGAAACAAATGGAACTTCTTCTGCTTGGCTCCGCATCTCTCAAAGTGGAAGTACCAGGACAGGCTTTGCAATTTGTTCCAACTTAGAGAAAGAGTAATAAAGAGATTCTTATCTCCACTGAGACCAGATGAAGAGCTGGCATTTGATACATATATATTATTACACACAAGTCATTTATTTGTGCTGACTAAGTGTGCACACTACTACTCATGTTAACTGAATTAAATAATGAATTTACGTAGCAACTACTCTGGAATTTACAAGACATTTGTTTCCCTTCATGCTTCTAGTTTCCATGTGTAATAAGTGTTGCAGTTACATGCAGTGCATTTCAAATTAAAATAAAGAAAAACAGTAGCAAGTGACATGCAGAGCTAAGAACTTTCTAGATTAATAAACATTCTAGCACTGCTGTCTTACCTAACTTTACAGTTATCGTACAAGAAAACAAGTGCAACTTTTTCAGTACTGATCAGCTTTTGCATTGAAATATCGAGAACAAAACTGTCAAGGAGTAAAATCCTCTTTCTTGTAGTTTTGGGCTAATCAAAAAATCACAAGCATTCAGCACGTTAGGAACTGCCATCACAAAACAGACAGATGTTTTCTTTCCTGATATGCTTCTTTCTTGGTGACTAATATTGGATGGTTCAGAAAGGGTGCGTAGCATCCATAAGACGTTTGGATTCCTCCTGTTTTCTCATATTGCATCATATTTAGGTAATGATTACAGATCAATTTGTTACTCACAAGATATCAAAATTCTGAGTGTTTTCTTTTTTTTGTGTATGACTAAACACAGGATTACTAGGAAGATGTAATTTTTCTACTTTCCAAAATTATAGTTTCCATCAAATAGTTTATTCCTGAGTAAGGAGAAGTGCTCACATTTTGATCACAGAATCACAGAATCAGAGAGCCATAGAATGCTTTAGGTTGGAAGGGACCTTTAGAGGTCATCTAGTCCAACCCCCGTGCAATGAGCAGGGATTTTTTGAACTAGACCAGGCTGTTCACAGTGCGCTCCAACCTGGCCTTGAATGTTTCCAGGCATGGGGCCTCCACTACCTCTCTCAGCAATCTGTTCCCGTGTTTCACCACCCTTATGGTAAAAAATTTCTTCCTTATATCCACTCAAAATCTACCCTCCCTTAGTTTAAAACCGTTACTCCTTGTCCTATCACAACAAGCCTTGCTGAAAATATTTTTCCAATCTTTCCAATAGGACCCCTTCAGGTACTGAAAGGCTGCTGTAAGGTGTTCCCGCAGCCTTCTCTTCTCCAGGCTGAACAGCCCAAACTCACTCAGCCTTTCCTCATAGGCGAGGTGCTTCAGCCCTGGGATCATCTTTGTGGCCCTTCTCTGGACCCACTCCAACAGCTCCATGTCCTTCTCGTGCTGGGGGCTCCAGAGCTGGATGCAGGACTCCAAGTGCGATCTCACCAGAGTGGAGTAGA